TTCCTGCTGATGTTACAAATACCTGTGATGTAAATGAACTATAACCAAGATGGAGCCTAAATAAATAATGTGAAATATACATGAATATGTACATTACATTTGGCCCATAAGCTATATTTAAAAGCCTTGGGTTTTTTTTGTTTAGGAATGTAATCTTAAATATACTGATCATCTTATTCTGGTAAACTGAGTAAAAAAAAGTAAAAAATAGTAACTGCTATGAATATTTTTGTATGACTAAGACTTGATTAAAGAGAATTAAGAATGCTAACTCCAACATTTGATTCCTGCTCAAGTAAATTTTGATTTTTTTTCTGCAATTCTAGTGTGACAAATCACTTAAACCTAGTAAAAATGAAGATTTTGTACTGATGCTGGGGATGTGTGGCTCTTCCACAGGGAAATGTACCTTATCTGCACCTTTTCAGTACACTCTAAAGTATCTTCAAACAAAAACTGTAAGGATCAGTAATAAAATGCTGAGGTCACTGGCTGAACCATTACATAACCTGGGACTTGCCTAAAAATTCAGATTTTTGAAGTGGGGTTTTGTTTTATTTTTTTAATTTGAAGTCTTGGCAGCCTGGAGTTTAGGGGTAGAGAGCTGTGCCCTCCACAAGCTCTGGTATGTGGAGGAAGAGAAGAGGGCTTCTGTTGCTGCTGTTACTGCCTGGAGCACCTGAGCAAACAGCTGAGCTGGGAAGGCAATAGCAGCATAGCCCTGCCTGGCTGTTCTCCTAAGTGCCCCAACTGTGCTGCACACATGGGTGGTGGGTTGCTCAGGGAAAGCCTGGTGCACCAGCTGCCTTCTCTGGAAGCTGAAGTCTTCCAGAACCACCTGGATTTTATTGTGCCTGTAACTTGTAGGTGGCAACTGTGGCCACTTGATGCTGGTAATAGACAAAAGAATGTTTTTTACTTATTTGGTAACAGCTTGGGGAAAAAACCCCCAACAAACCTAACCCACAAAATCAACTATCTTGAATTTACTAGCAAACCAAAGAAAAGCTTTGAGTTCATTCTCACACTGCAGGAAAATGCAGCAGCCACTCACAGTTGCAATACAGTACGGGAGATTGTTTTTACAGCTGGGACACAACAGTTCACACTCTGGAAGCTGGAATGCACAATAGGGACAGGCTGTTGTTGGCTCTTCTGTCTCTGTTGTGTCTGGACGTCTAGAAGTAAGATACAAAAGTGAATAAAAACATCAAGCACTTTGAACTTGAACAAAGATGTTTTACAATGCCTTTCATAGTTAGTAAGTGTTTTTCCTTTGAGTTATTTACATAGCTTCCAGTTGCTATTTTATATTCTAGCAGATAATTCCTTTTAACTACCACCCAAGCTTCATCCCAATTATGTAAACTTAGGTCATTTTCTATTTCTATCTAATTTGAAACGATACAACCTTTTTAAAGCTATAACAGATCATAACACTTTGAAAGCTTTTAAAACTCATGGTCTATACATACAGAATATCAAGCTATGATTTCTTTATTTCAGTGTTTTTCTGTGGCAGGAGTGACCACAAAGACCTGACACAAGAACGACTAAAACTGGTGCCCTGGTAGGGCAATACAGCTTGTAACTCTGCCTTTCCCAGGCTTGTTTTCATCCACAGGTCTGCCAGAATGAGGGTCCTGACCCAGACATCATGTCACCTGGGGGGAAACCTTATGTTTAATCTATATATCATTTATAGATTTAAGAGCTTAGATACACTTTTAGCATATTTTCCAATGAAAAGGATACATCCTTTCTAATGTTTTGCCTGGTAACTGTGGTGACAATTAGCTGGCTTCCTTCCTGAGCTTGATACTTTGTAGAAAGCCTCTACTAATGTCTCATTTTATTAGCCTGGGCATATACGTTTCCCTTGTACTGGCCTGTTCTTTCTCTCCACTTACTTACAAAATCTGTGGTATAGATATACACAATAGATTAAGAATGAATCAGTGTGGCTTTTAGCATTGATGTCATATTTTAGAAGCTTACTGGAATGTTCTAGAAATATTAACAAGTAGGTAACAGGGAAGAATTTTGCCTGAATTAAAAAAAAAAAAAGGTTAAAAGATACTAAACAGAATAAGATAAACAATTCTCATACATATCTGTGTTAACCTACTGCTGTTCTGCATGCTCATAAAAATATAAGTGAAAAGAATGTGATGCCACAGTTTGTATATGATATTCAGCCTGATTTGGATAGAGCCAGCTTCAAAGAATTCCAGAAGAACTTTGTGACAAGAAGATACCAGGGTGGGTGGCAGCCAAAGCAAAGCCTATTGGAAACAAGTTTTCACGTGTAAGATGATGGACTCTGAACTGCTGTGGCTTAGGGGGAGGATCTTGCAATGGTACTGTATGCTACGAAAACATCAGCTTGCTTTAAAAACAGAGCAGATCAAGTAGCGTGGAACACTGAGTCACTGTGCTACTACATAAATCCCTGGGTTGCTCACTTCTTAAATACAATGCATCAGTTTGGTCCTGCCTCCTCCAAAAAAGGTTGTACAAGAGTTTCAGAGAAAGGCCATAAGGATCAGTATCCATAAAAGAATAGCTACATAATCTGAGGTTCTTCAGGTCCTGAAAAGACATGACTGATAAAGGGAAAAATGAAAAAAAAAAAACAAAACCCCAAACCACCAAACACAACCCCCCCCCATCTCTAAAATTATAAGTGACAGAGAAAAGGCTAGATCTTTTCCAAGAGGAAAACTACAAGGCATCACATTAAAGTAGCTAGGGCCCAGCCTTGACACAATAGGACTTCTTGTCGCAGGAGTCACCTCTCGCTAAAAATGTACATGGGTTAAAGTAGACATTGGATATGCACCTGGAGAGCTTAGAGACTTCATAAATACCTAAACCACCCGTATGGGCTCAGCAAGTCCCTGTGCCTCAGGTTAGAGGCTAGTAAGATACCTAAGAAAAGCATTACATGTGCTTGCCCTGCTCTTATACACTCACCTATGCTTCCTCCTCTGGCAGAAAGTACTGGCTAGGATCTATCAAAAGAGAACTTCAGATAAGGAAGAAAATGTCAAGGATTAAGCTATTTTTTATTTGCCCTTCCATTCTTTTTTATCTTAGCCATTGAGTCAGTAGGGTAAATCACAGAAGAGCATACTGCTGATGCTGTAGTAGCTAACAGTTCACATGTACATTCCTAACTCAACAACAACCAAAGCCATACGGACAAGATGACAGAAAATGTTACTGCTGGCTAGGAAGCATTTTACATGCACATTGCTTTTACGGTTTATCGCATCCAAGGGAACAGAAGAGACACTAATTTTCAGAGAAGGGGAAATGGTTCTTAGCCTTCCAAATTTGAGACAGTGCAATAATATGACAACAGGATAAAGCCTGTAGGCTTTATGAGCAAAAATAATGTTACAAATAAAGCTTTGATATTGTGTACATTTGAAAGTACAAATTAACAAACACTGCTTACCTGACCATTGCTTCAATTTTCTTTTTGTATTTAAGATCTATTTTATTACGATACTCAGGTCTCATCAACATAGCAGCAAAACTGAAGGCTGAGTTCTTCAATCCTGCTCTATGACACTCAATTACAGTTGAAGTCAAAATTGGCACAATGTCTGTGAGAGAATGAAACAATGATGTCAAATATTTATTTACCAATATTAATGCTGAAAGCCTTTGAGCTAACACAGCTAAAAAGGCAGTGATGAAAAATGACAGTATATTTCTTCTTCCTCCTGGTACACAGTTGCACAATTTGTGCAATTCCTGTAACTGCATACAAGAAAATCACGGTTTCACCTCTCACTGCCTTCCGTTTCTGAAGCTCAGCATGGCAGCAGAAATGTTTTCACTACAACCATTTCTCCCAACTCTGATCTGCACTGTTTAAATTCTACATCTTAGGCTACATTTTCCATGTACCCAAAAAGTATTTTCAAAAGAAGACTGATTAAAATTTTGTGATAAAGTCACAGACCCAATCAGCTCATTACATACGAGCCTGAGACTTTCTGTGTGGTTCAGGCAGCTCAGCATTGCATTTATGCAGGAACCCACCCTGGAGGCTGTATATCAAAGAGCTATCCTGCAGAGGACAGCAGAGCACACTATGTATTTACACGTTGTGGTGTGCCCTATAGGATCATAGGAGGAGAGGGTACCTTCTAATGCAGTGATTAAGGAATTGTCCTGTAGACTACAGCATGCAGTTCTACGCTGTCAGCACTTACGTGATGGGAACTTGCTGATGTTGTTGGCTACACGTATAAGCATACGTGCTCCCTTCAGGTGATCACCACGTCTCACGTAAGTCTGGAATACAACAATCATATCCGATTAGCTGCAGCCTTTAGAGAGTAATTCCTGCAGCCTGCTCTTGGCATTCACCCTTCCAGGAGCTGCACGCCCACAGCTCTTTCACAAAACCAAGCAGAGGTGTTACCATGCACTAGAGAAAGGACCTCTCTTTCCCAGAACAGTCCTCCTGGCCCTCAGCCCACTATTTGCCTGCTCTTACCTCACTGCTGGTAGAGAGGGAGGCCAGAAGCTGGCTGTAGGCTGAATGCACGTCCTGATGGGCCATGGTTTAACTACTAGAAATCATTTGAGCCCCCCCCGCTTCATTTCAGTTACAGAAAAGCAGTCATCTACTTATAGATGATAACATCACCACCACTAATAATAAAACTGCCACCACCACCAAATAATAGTACTAGTAACATAACATTTGTAAGCATGAATGCAAAAGAAATACAGGAAGCCATATGTGGGTTTTAAATTATTCAGTATTTAAAAAAAGAATATGCTAATCAAGGAGGCAGAAACAACCATGGATTGTCTTCCTGAAACTTGCTGTTAGCATGCACTTGGATTCTGTGATAGAACCTATATGACAATGGAATTTATGTATACAGAGCATCCATATGTACACTTCAATAAATAAGAGATTGTGCAACTTATGCCTAAATTCAGGTTCTCAATTCATTACCTTCACTAAAATATAGCTGTGTAGAATCATAAGGTTTGTAGCCATCTCAGAAGGAATTTTAATCTTCTGGGTCTTTAACTCTGAATACATACTGAAAAGAACATCATGTGCATTTCGGTAGTTTCCTTAAAAACAAACAACACGGAATAGTAAATCTAAGTTTTCATAACAATTTCTTTACTAATAATATACACAGAAGCTAACCAGGAAATTATGTTGATTCTTAGAGCAAAACATTGGCATGACAATTTCTTTAGAAAGTCACAAGCAGTTGCTTGTCACAGTAACCTAAACGATTTCAGCCAGGGAATTACATAAGAAAAAAAAAAATCACACTTGGAGATGTCATCTAAACAGTAGCAAAATACCTATGTGGATGACAATTTCATATAATGAAACTTTAAAAATGGAACATGCTGTATCCAATACATTGCTTCCACAATAAAGAGGAGAAAAGGTATTTTTAGAGCATTTAGAGATGTTACCTCTTTTTGTTCTTCAATGTCAGATATTCAAAAGCTGTTGTTTAAATGTTAATTTAACATACTTTTATTTATCATTTGCTTTAGCAACTCCTTGCCTCTGCAATCAAACAAACCCAAAACCTTTCAGACAGATAATTAAAATTTGAATGTTAATTCAGCAGATTATACTGCTTCAAGGTTACTATCAAGGATTGTCCAGAAACCACAGGATTTCATTAAATTATCAACTTTTTCCCTCTATCTATATTTCTCTATCAGCAAACGTTTCTACTCTATAGAGCGATTTGTTATGTGTTGCTACACACTAAAATTGAATCAACCAGTAGAATTTGTGTGAGGCAGCTAAGTATCACTCCAGAATTAGTCGCTACAAAATGACATTAATTTTTCACGCTATATTACTAAGTCTCAGTATAACAGGATCAGTCTTAAAATCATATGATTACGTAAAAACAACTTAAAGGAAAATTGCACATAAAATGGTATACCCAAAAGAAACTACCACAGTTTGACTTTTAAGGAAAGAATAAACTATATTGGTGTAAACTTCAGAATGAACCTCACTGAAGTCTCTTCTCCCAAGTAACAAGGGATAGGACAAGAGGAAATGGCCTCAAGTTGTGCCAGGGGAAGTTTAGATTGGATATCAGCAAAAAATTCTTCACCGAAAGGGTTGTCAATCATTGGAACAGGCTGCCCAGGGAAGTGGTTGAGTCACCATCCCTGGAGGTATTTAAAAGACATGTAGATGCGGTGCTTAGGGACATGGTTTAGTGGTGGACTTGGCAGTGCTAGGTTAACGGTTGGACTTGATGATCTTAAAGGTCTTTTCCAACCAAAATGATTCTATGATTATTCACTGCCATGATCAGAGAATGGTTTGGGTTGGAAGGGACCTTAAAGATCATCTCGTTCCAACCCCTCTGCCATGCTGGCCAAGTGTTTGAGTGATTTTCCACTCCTTAGCCAAATGCTGGGGAGCAGTCCATAAATTTTTGTTTGCCTGGGCTGTTCCTGAGGCTTCTATTTTTCCTTTAGAGATACTTTTCTTAACTTACTTGAAATGAAAAGCAAGCAGTGTTATGGGAGGGCTGTTGCCATGGCTACAGAGGAGCATGAATAACGGAGGTGATAGCTATTTTGCTTCGAGCCCTGTCCCTTCTTAGTACTTTTCTCTATTTCTAACTTCAGCTACCTATTACAGGGGAAAACAAGGCTTAAGTAAGCAGGTATCTGATCCTTCAACAGAAATCATCTCCTGTGCACATCTCCCACTGAAAAAAAATCATGTGCAAAGTCTAAAGGATAAGTATCCAAGTCAGAAACTGCATGTAGAAACTGCAATTCTAAGATCTGTAACATACAAAAAAGTAAAGTTGCAGGCAATCTTAATCACTATGTCTACTTGAATGTAACAAGAAATGCAGATATTTTCCAGATATTTTCTTTTTTCAAATATTTAATATACAGGTATGACTCCCAACCTTTTCAAAAAGGCTACTTCAAAATTAAACCTGAATATAATTAAAAGAACTGATACATGTCTTTTCCAAGTATAATCCTATCTAAATAACAGTACCCTAAGTACTGCAAGGCTGTCATGTCAGAGATGCTGTCATATCAGAGAAAACAGACTTACCTGAACACTGCTCCTCCCTGGCAATTATTATAGCAGTTCTGGCAGCTTCTCTGTATTGCTTTAGTGCCATGTATAAGCGGAATAGGTACTTGGCATCCTTAATTAAATCATACAAAAGCAATTAATACTAATTGAATACATACTGCTGTATTCCCTTTCTTTACCTGCCCATCCCACCACTGCATTCTTCAAAGCAAGCGGACAAACTGGCTTGTTTTGTGAAGAGCTTTTTGTTTCACTGTGCTTTAGCAATGCTACAGTCACCTCCAAGTTTTGGCTGTTAGGACAGTCAAATAAACACCCACACTGAGGACCCTGACGGAGTTGTGGCAGTTAGTTGCCAAGTCCTGTCAATATGGATGCAGAAAGCTGCAGACTGTTAGGTACAGAGACACTTGTACAGGTGGAAACCCAATCACTTCAGACGTGTAGGCATTTGAGCAGACTAGTAAAGAAAAAAAAAGGAATCAACAGGAGAAAAAGAGCATTGGTCTTTCATAAGGATTTTGATAAAATCCTCAAAAGAAGTCATTCCTAAAAATACAGCTAAAATACAAAATAAAATGACCTTGTTTATGATGAAAAGGAACTATTATAGTGAAAAAAAATCAAAACCGGACAGCGTCACTATTTTGTATCTTTAGAAGTGATTTATAAAATGGGATCAATAAAAAGTAGTGTCTGTACATGACAATTTTTTAACCAGTAAACCAAGATTAAACTGAAATATTGTATATAATGGCATGGTTCCAACTTGAATATACAAATCAGAAAAAAGACAGACACTGGTACCCTTATAGACAGCTTAGCAAAAAAACCAAACCAACTAATTCTGCAATATTAGTAGTGAAAACAAGCATTTACAATGTGTATTCTGTGTTAGATGGAATAAGAATTTCTTTAAAAATAATTGTATAAATCAATGGCGTGCTGTTCTCTAGAATACTGTGTGGGTTTTGTATGTAAGTCTCAGACACATAGCAAAAAAAAAAAAATTCAAAGGAACTGAAATATGAAAGATACAGACGTTTCCTTATAAAGACGACGACTGCAAAGATTAACTCTCTACTTCAGAGGCAAGGAAAAAAATGACGAAAAATCAGAGAAGTAAAAGTGAGAACGACTGGCATACAGAAAGACAAAAAGGCAAGTCAAATTCTTTTTAACTCACAATAATTCTTCTTTTTAACTCGCAATATAAGGAAAAACATGAAGTGACCAAAAGTAATTACTTTTAAACTAATGATGGAGCAGAATTTTAAGTAACACATGAGCAAAAGGTTGAACATCGTAAGAACCATAACTTAACAATAATGAAATGGTTATCTGGATGATGAAGTAACCACAACTACTTATATTAGTGGATATTATTTATCCACTGTAAACTGCCTTAAAAAGGAAAATTGCTATTCCTGCAGCAATATTCTGCCACAGCAGAAGGATCCTGTCCCAGAACAGACCAGTGGTCTTATATGGTATTTGCCATGTCCCTAATGATAGTTTACTTAAATAATATATTTAAATGACTTACATGGCAGCCACATGTAGAAAAAAATATAAAAGTAGAAGGCATTTAAGAAAAATTAGTATCATGTTTTACTTTCCTATTCTTACCTTTAAAGTCAGCCATTTTAAAAGGAAAATGGCAGGAAGGAATTTTCAACTGACAACAAATTTCCTAAGGGCTTTGGAAAAAATTATTGCAGTCTAACTGATCTTAGTTAGATATCATTAGATAGCCATGATTTTAATTTAGTTTTGCATTTTAAAACACATGTACTTAGAAAATATGCACACAGAAAACAGCAGAACCTTGCTAGTTAATGGTCCCTGAGACATTTCAAAAGAACACACATGACAAATTAAGAGTCTTTACACGTTGAAGTTAGAAATGCAACAGTTGACATTTACGAAATAGTTTATAATTAGTCAGACAATAGTGTGGCAAAATTTTGGTAAGCATAATAATTTCGATAATACAGTATTTCATTAAAATCCCACCTAACTGTTGGCTACAAAAGATTTAAAGCAATCAGGCTGCTGCGAGCAATGATCTGGTTTGAAGATCAACATTTGAAAGGATTAGCAAGTTTCTGCTGCATGGCTACTTTAAGTTCACTTTTTCTTTCAGCTTTACAAAAATACCACCACATAAAAGCTGCTATTCTCTAAAAATAACCCCATTTGCTTGATAATTTCAAAAACACTGTCTCCATAGCATATTAAGGATGAAGATGAATTGTTTTTTAAGTAGATTTTTAAAACAAATATGTATGAGTTGATAAAGTAAAATTTTGTTACTCACTGAGAGAGACTATGGCAGATTGGATTAAAGCATTCAAAAGAACAAGAGAGTGCTTTTAAACAAGGAAAAGAAAGCTCTACATTGAAATTCAAAACAATGTTAAATGTGGCAATTACGGCATTCACAAAATTCCTAAGTGTTTTCTAAAATCTCTACAACCTCTTCACTATGGAGATCACCCTGTAGCTCACTTCCCTTACCCAGTCCTATGCACTTCTTTCAACCAGATGGCTAGGCTGCTGCTCTTAGAAAAGAGACTGGATGCTACAGTTTCTGTCCACCCAACTTTCAGCATAAATATGAAATTACTTTTGCTTACACTGATGCTGAACATATTTTTCATCTATGGCCTCAAAGAGCTTCACTCTTTTCTGGTCTCTTGCAGCTGAATTTTGTTTCTTTCACTATGTTTTGCTTCTCTCAATTTTATTAATGTTTACATTTCAAGTTAGAGGTAAACAGTATGAGGTAAATAATAAACAGATAGAGGGGTGGTTTGGGGGCGGGGGGGGATGTGTGTGAGTTTTTTTGTAGGTTTTTTTTAAATTTTATAAAAGCAAAGTTGGCTTGGCCATCAACTGTCCAGTGTCTCTAAAAGTCTAAAATATCAAGCCCTTAATCTTTAGGCACCAAAGAGGGAAAAGCCAGAATTTCTAATCTCCCAAGAGAATCATAAACCACAGCTGTAATATTAGGGGTGAAATAAACTTACTGCACTGAGACCATATCATCTCAGTTGTTACCAAACCTTACTCCCCTCAGTAAGGCAGAGCTTATGCTTTCATACATGTAACTTTGCACCTGACTGTATTTACTGTGAGTTTGTATGAGACCTTAAATTCCTTGACTAAGGAATTAATAGCAAACTACAGTGTCCGCACCTGAGGTCTGGCCTTCACAGTAGAAAAACGTGGGTGCAGCGCCACTTAGCTCACATTCAAGCTCTGCTGTAACAGGCAGTAAAACTTGAGCCACTTAGTTCCCAGAACTCAAGCCCAAATATGATTGAATGTACTATAACCTCTACGGACATCCAAGCCAAAAACGGATTGTGAAGCCTGTTTTCTATAGCTCAAACTCAGAGAAACCCGATAGCCCATCAGCAGTCACTCTGCGAAAGAGCTGTTGGTCATCTTAAGCTCAAATGCTGCTGTTCTGATGTCTAACATATTTACAGTGGACATTTTTAATTTGTCTTGGAAAAAATACCACAAACATACCAACGGAACATGGTCAAAATCTACTACTTATACTGTACATACAGCACAGACCTAATCTATGTTCTGCTTAGTTTGTGAATGATCCTCTTCTTTTATTACCAAACCTATGGCATTGGCAACTAATATAGAAAGATCTGTCAGCAAGTATCTTCCAACTCCCAAATCAGTATATACAAGAGAGAAAAAGATGAAATAGTCTACCAGTCTGCCAAAAGCCTTTTATTACACCCAGTGAATAGTTTGCTTTTAAGAAAGGAGCAGGAAACCCGGAAGAAAGGGTAGTGTTCCCTTCTAAATTTTAAGACCTGATCACATGACATTAAAATAAGCCTCATAGCACAGATTACCTCATATCTCACAGAGCATAAAGAAAAAAATGTAAGCTTCTAAGGATCCAAAGAAGATTTTCTACGACAACAATGAGTGAAAACATAAAAATCAGTGTCCACAGTATTTTATTCTCCTATTGTTAATCAAACTTCCATGTTAGGAAGGTCTGTCACCAAAAATCTTCAAATGTGCTTCCTGGTTTTTAAAATTTTCTATCATAAATACATAATTTTATTTTCCAACACAGAACAGAAACTCTGTGGTTTAGTTTACATAACTACAGCCTGTATCTGCAGATGAAACCGACTCTATGAATAATCAATTCAAACTTTAAATACTTCTACATAATAAGAAATCCAAAAAGAGAATTTTTTTTTAAAATAAGATTTAACTATCATATGCATATCCACATGAAGCTGTTACATTTTCAAGTGATCTCAGTGGCAAATTTTTGAGTTGCTAAGCTAAGCTAATTTGGAAAACATGCTCATTAATCACTTCAGAAATCAACAGGGAGCTGGTAAGTTTAAAAAATCTGTCCATAACTTTTTATGTCTTATGTTGATGTGTGAATACAGGAACTAATGTAGCCTGATCATCTTTGGATTTTTGTCCTTCATCTCCTATTTACTACTTTACTTTCTTGCACTGCAACAGTAAGACCAACTCCCCACACGGCAAGAAGAGCTCAGTGCTGTAGCTAGTGTTGAGACACACACATGCTGACTGTCCATCCTGGAAAGGCAACTGCCAGCTGGCTAACTGGCATGAACAAACAGCTA